GCAGTTCATAGTTCGTTTTGTTATCATATTAGCAGCTGTCTCTGTTCCTCCACCATTACTATGTGTTTCGCGAACGAATTCTCCAGAAAAGGAAAGAAAGCGCGTAGCATGTAATATTGAGGATGAGTTTCGTGAGATTCAACGAGGTTCTATTGAAAAAGTACTGATTTGCATCCAGATTTGGTTGTAATAATCTAACAATTCCTAATAGCAAATCACCAGAACTATGGAAATATGATACAATCCATTAGGGATAGTTGGATCATAGTAGGTGATCAGTCTTCATTTCTTTCTTATTGTGTTTATTAGTCCCACAATGTCAACTTAATTTTAAAGCAACAGTCCAAAATCCAATTGACTATAAGTATGGTCCACGAGCTGTCGCAATGGGCGACTTCAATAACGATACTTGGTTAGATATTGCTGTTTCCAATTTTGTTGCTGACAATATAACTATATATTTTGGATATGGTGATGGTACCGTGGCAAGCCCAATCAAGTTTTCCACCGGTTATGGCTCTGCTCCGTGCATGATTGCTGTTGGTGATTTCGACAACGATCGTCGACTAGATGTTGCCACTGCAAATTTCGGCACAAATAGCGTTAGCATACTTCTTGGATTTCAAAACCTGTCATTTGCGAACAAAACAGTTCTATCCACTGCATCATCTCGTCCAGTTTGGATCCATGTAGCGGATCTAAACAATGACGCAACACTAGACATTGTCACTGCTAACTACGGGACACACAGTCTGAGCATATTTTACGGATATGGAAATGGAAGCTTTTCAAGACCAAGCACATATTCTACAGGATACGATTCTTTTCCGTTAGCGGCTGTCAGTGGCGATTTCAACAACGACAAACAGATAGATCTTGCTGTCGCTAATTATGGCACAAACAACATTGGTATACTCCTTGGAACTAGTAACGGCATTTTCACAAAGCAAACCACATTCTCTACTGGTCCTAATTCTCAGCCATACTCGCTTGTCGTTGGTCATTTTAACGAAGACGCCATGCTAGATATTGCCGTCGCCAACTATGGAAATAACAGTGTAGGTGTACTTCTAGGCCATGGCAACGGAACTTTTAAGAGTCAAATGACTTATTCCCTCAGGGCTGCATCTCCATATTCTATCGGTATTGGTGACTTCAACAATGACAATCGAATGGATTTAGTCGTCACCAATAATGGCTCTGACAATATAGCTCTAGTTGTCGGATATGGCAACGGTACTTTTGCAAGTCCAAAAATGTATTCCACTGGATCTTCTGCATCAATCTTCATTACCATAGGTGATTTAAACAGAGATAATCGTTTAGACATTGTTTTCATCAACAATGACATCAGCACCATAGGCATTATGCTTGGTTATGACGAATTTTTTCCAATTCAAACGGTATATTCAACTGGCTCTTACCCATACTCTGTAGCTGTCGATGATTTTAATAACGACACCCAGCTGGATATCGCCGTTGCTAATCTAGTTGATGGTACTGTAGGTATTCTTCTCGGATATGCCAATGGCTCTTTTGCAAACCAAAGGGCATATTCAACTGGCTCTTACCCATACTCTGTAGCTGTTGGTGATTTTAATAACGACACCCGATTGGATATTGTCGTCGCTAATTCTGGTGATAACACTGTAAGTGTTCTTCTCGGGTATGGCAATGGTTCTTTTGCAAATCAAACGACATATTTAACTGGCTCTAAACCATATTCTGTAGCTGTTGGTGATTTTAATAACGACAGCCGACTCGATATCGTCGTCGCTAATTTCAAGGATCACACGGTAAGTGTCCTTCTCGGCTATGGTGATGGCTCTTTTGCAAATCAAATAATCTATTTAACTGGTTTTGGCCCATTTTCTGTAGCTGTTGGTGATTTTAACAATGATACTCAATTAGATATGATCATTGTTAATTCTGGTGATAACACTGTAAGCGTCCTTCTCGGATATGGCAATGGCTCCTTTGCAAATCAAACGACATATTCAACTGGCTCTGAGCCACAGCTGGTAGTTGTTAATGATTTTAATAATGACGCCCGACTGGATATCATCGTCACTAATTATTATGACTTCACTGTAAGTGTTTTTCTCGGATATGGCAATGGCTCCTTTGCAAATCAAATGACCTATTCAACTGGTTCTAACCCTCTTTCTATAGCTGTTGGTGATTTTAATAACGACACCCAACTAGATATCATCACCACTAATGCTGGTAATAACAGTGTAAGTGTTCTTCTCGGATATGGCAACGGCTCTTTTGCAAATCAAACGACATGTTCAACTGGTTCTGGACCAGCCTCTGTAGCTGTTGGTGATTTTAATAACGATACCCGACTGGATATCGTTGTTGCCAATTTTTATGACTACAGTGTAAGTGTACTACTTCGGTATGACAGAGGAGCTCTGAAAGACAAAACCACTTTTGCAGCTAGCGATAATTCTCGTTTGCAAAGCTTTGTCATTTTTGATTTCAATAACGATAGCCTACTGGATATCGCCGTTGCCAATTACGGTACTCATAATATAGGTGTTTTTCTTGGTTATGGAGATGGCACTTTCGGAAACCAAATGGTGCTCTCAACAGGCTTCAATTCTTATCCTTACTCAATCGCCATCCATGATTTTAATAAAGATGGTCAAGTGGATATAATAGTGGCCAATTATGGTACTAAAAATCTTGTTACATTTCTGGGACGGGGGAACGGAACATTTGAAAGTCAAGAAAGTTACAGCGTAGGTTTCGACTTTGCTCCATTAGAAGTTAGTGTTAGTGATTTTAACAAAGATAGTCGTTCAGAAATTTTTGTTGCATATAATGGCATCGATTATGTGGATGTGTTTGTTACATATAA